CCTCACCCATCCCAAAAGAGATCACAGGGCTCTGCGACAGCACATTAAATTATAGATATGCACACGTGGACATACGTGCTCCATGCGAGTGGCTGAGTACGTATGTGCATACATACGTGAACACCCATAAAACACAGGCGAACACAGCTGCACACATTACTACCTACAAAAAGTTTGTAATGCAGAAAACACACCATGTACTACTCCCTGATACCTTTTTTCCTGTCCAGATTTTTATCACATTTCAAAAAAAAAAAAATCTATTTTGAAAACCACGTACCTTGCCTTATCTTTACTGGCAATTAATTTCAAGGAGGGGTATCCAATTTTGACAAGGACTCTAAACATGTTAATATTTGAAGAGGGGGAAAAAAAGTATGACATTAATTATTCAGGTATTAGTAGGCATGCTGACAGCATAGCCCAAACGATTTTCTGTCGCAAACTGCTATTAACAGGGGGGTTTTCTCCTCCATGGAAGTATTTTACAAAGACTTCGTACCACCGTTTTTCTTGAAAAAGTGCTGAAATTTTCATTATAATTGTAGGAGCAGTAAGGATTAATAATGAAAATAATGGGAACCAGAGCACACAATAGATGCGAATCTCCCCTGTAATCGTGTGACTAAAAACAAAACATGCAATATTGCAAATTGTGGTGGGGGAGTGAAACCACCCTTATGGGGTCCAGACCTGCACCCCGGGGTCCTGCACCCCAGGCACACACATCCCGTGTGCTTGCCCCCCGCCATGCACCCTTGGGGTCACATCCAGCCGTACACCCCCTATTCTGTCAGATGGCTGGAGATAGGACGAGATGAAATGGCCTCAAGTTGCGGCAGGGGAGATTTAGGTTAGATATTATGAAAAATTTCTTTACTGAGAGGGTTGTCAGACATTGGAATAGGCTGCCCAGGGAAGTGGTTGACTCACCATCCCTGGAGGTATTAAAAAAGCGAGTAGACAGGGTACTCCAGAACATGGTTTAGTGGGCATGGATGATGGTTGGACTCGATGATCTTGAAGGTCTTTTCCAACCTAAATGATTCTATGATTCTATGCCTGCCCCCCACCCAGCACCGCAGGCAGGACTGGTAGGGGTGGACATTGCCAACTGGATGGGGATTTCCCCCCCACCGAGCAGCACAGCTGGATGGGCCACAGCTGGGGGGAGCACAGCTGGTGCCACCCCGGGTTCACAGAGTTCATGCTGCTGAGATTTTAGGGCGAGATAGCGAAAGCTGACACCCAGGGAACCCCCCCGGGGGGCCAACAGCCGGCCCTGCAGCCCCTGCCACCTCATTAGGGACCCCCACGGAGGGGGGACTGGGGGGGGGCAGCCAGGTGACACGCCCCTTCCAGCCAGCCCAGGGCCGCATCCTGCCCAGCCTCGCTCCCCCGAGGATGCTGCTCACCAGCCAGCACTCCCTGGTCGCCTTCTCCATCCCCAGTTCCCTCAGTGCTGTTTCCTCTTCTCAGCCCTAAAATAAAGGAAAGAAGGAGGGAAAATGGGGGTGTCGTGGCATCATCCTGCCCCACAGCTCTGCCAGGGCCTGTCCCCACCCGGGGTGGGTGACGGGTGCCCACCGGCCACCCTCAAGTGTCACCCAGTGTCCCTGGGTTGATTTGGGGGTGCAAGAAGCTTTCATGTATGAATATTTCCCTTGGGGCACCTTTCAGAGCAGGGAATCCCAGCTGGATAAATGCAGGGGAAAATAGGAATTAGCAGGAAAAAAAAAAAAAAAAAAATATATATATGCAGGTAAAGAATGGGAGTTATTTGCAGGGTGGAAGGAAGGGAAGGGAGCTCTGTTTCTGCAGGGCACCTGTGGTCCTGCAGGCACCCAGAAGGACATGGAATGGGGCAGAAGCACACACTCACATCTCCAAAACCTCCCCGCTCCCCCCAGGCCCTCCCTACCTAGTCAGAGGTTATTCACTTCCACATGTATTTATGTATTTCTGCCGTTGGGCACTGGCGGGGAGTACCTGAGCACTGGCCCAACAGGGAGAACGGCAGCAGAGGGGACAAATGCTGGACACCCACAACTCAAAATAACCCTGTTTCCCAGAAAACCACCTTGGCTCAGGGTTTTCCAGCCTGGAAGCAGCTGCTGAAGGGCTGGGGAGGGGAGATGGCAGGACCCCGCACCTCTGGCCTCCCCACGGTCCCGCCGGTTTTCAGGGGACGAGCTGGTCCCACACACGCTTCGTCGGAGTCTCCTGCTCCCCAAACCCAGACCTCGGTGGCTTTGGATTGACCTTTCTCCCTTTTTACTGACGTTTCTGTTCATGCAGCGCTGGGAAAAGTAAGCCCAGGATCTGTGAGCGAGATGCTAAGAATATATAAAATTAGTTAGAGCTAAGAATATAAAATTATAAATCTAACAGCAGCATTTTTTGTTCTTTTCCTTTTTTTATCTGCCAAAGTCATCCCTGATGAGAAGTTAAAGAACAGTTCAAAAATAATCCTCAACTCGGATCTTCGCTGCGAGTCAAGGAGGGCTTTTCATTATGTTAGAAACCACAGACAGCAAAACGTGGGCCTCGATGCTTCGGATCCAGCACGCTGCTCGGGGAGGATTGATTTCAGAGCACATCCCGATGGGTCACTTCTTTTTTATGACGTGCCGCTTGCATGCAGGATCCCAAGTTTCCAACGCAATGTCTTCAATTATTTGGGGGGGGTTAACCACTGTAACGAATGGTTAATTACAAGCAGTCGCCCAGGCAGTTGCTGGTATTTCCAGCTGATTAAAAGGCTGGATGAGCCCAGTGCGTAAAACTGTAGGAAAAAATTGAATTTAAGGTAAACACTCAGAGTGTGCAGGGCCCCAGCGTGCAGAGGGGCCAGATCCTGCCGGGGAGAGGGAGCGGATCTGGGCACGCCGCGGGGAGGCTGAGGGGCAATCGGGGTGAAAAGGGGGTAAAACGGGTCAGAAGGCTGACGCTGCCCTGACCCCCACACACACTTTCTGGGACCCCCAAACCCCTCCTGGGGGAGCAGCCCCTGAGGTGGGAGACCCGCGGGGGTCACCCCAGCACTTTGGGGACCCCCTGCCCCCCCCCCACCCCACAAACCCGGCCTGATCCGTGCTGTTTGCCGGGCAGGGCTGTGCGAGTCAGGCCAAAGGCAGAATTTAATGGCACTTTCCATCTCCCCTCCCCACCGCCCCCGGTCCGGGAAGGGGAGCGGAGCAAAACCACGCACCAGCCCGGAGTAGGGAGAGCGGCTGGATCCTGCCCCGGCCCCAAAACCTCCTTTTTCTGACAAAGGACAGGCGAAATCCTCCCCCGGTTTTGGGGAGGGGGAGGAGGATGAGCACAGTTTCCCATATGGCCTCATTTAGGGTAATTTCTTTCAATTGCTAAAAGCATAAACTCCACCTATTGAGCCCGTAGATTTATATGGAACAGCTGAAGGATCCTCCAAAGCACTTTGTGGGCTGGCCAGGACCGCCGGCTCCCACCTTCCAGAAAGGTTGGCGGATAATTTTTTTTTTTTTTTTTTTTTTTTAAAAAAACCCTTTTTTTTCCTTTCCCCCCCCCCCCCCGCTTTTTTTTTTTTGTTGGTTTTTTTTTTTTTTAAGAGAGATATTGATAACATGGGAGTTAGAAAGAGCCTCATAACTCACAATAAACCCTTGTCCATTCTCTTCTATTGACTACATGTAAACATGGTAAATGAAAGGCCTTTAGTGACACTTAATCCCTCACCCCCCGCCCCGCTTCGCCCCCCCCTCCCTCCCTGCCCCCAGCCCAGCCTGCCCTGGGAGGGGGTTACGCTGCTTTTTTTCTCACAGCTTGCTGTTTTACTGAGCCCCTCCTCTGCTATCTAATTTATCATTAACACCCTGACACTAAACTAAATAAATGCAGCGGCTTCCCTCGACTCCCCCCACACCTTGCTCTGGGGCTCCAGATTTTTTCCTCCCTGCCCCAGAGTTTTTTGGGCATGAACCAGCTGCAAATCTACAGGCTGGAGGGGGGAGATGCTCAGAGCCCCCTCCCCGGCAGGTCCCGTGCTGGTCCCTGCAGATAATTAACATCATTATTAAATTACCTTCTTTAAAAGATAATAATAATAATAATAGCGGGGTCATTTGGCTGCGATTAGACCCGGTGCGGTCTCGCCAGGGTCGCTGCCTCCTGCCCAGGCTTTGCCTCTCGAAATTTTAAATGTTTTTAAATGGGAGTCATTTTGAGTTGGATTCTTTTCCTCCCTGCCAGAAAGGAGGAGGGAAAAGAATAAAAAAAAAAAAGCTGCAAATAGGTTTGAAGCACCGCATTCATGATTTGCAGATCGATTTTCTGGTGTAATTTGGGTTTCAGTGATTTTTAAGGATGGAGGGGGTTTTTACCTGGCCTCCTGCAGAAGCGAGGTCATCAGATGATTTTGTGGCAATCAAATAATACCTAGTTATTAATCACAACTAATGAGGTCCTGACTGGGAGTGCGTTCCGTTTCTCTTTCCATTTTTCTCGGTTTGGAGAGATAATCTTTCTCGCTGTGAAAGAGACGGGTAAATGCTTCCCGGGTCAGAATTTCAACCTTCCCAGCTCATATCCAAAATATCAGAGTTTAGGCCCCTTTCAACACTTTGCACAGATAAAAACCACTTCGAGTCTTTGGGTCGCTCGTTCTGATCTATGTTGGGGTTTGTGTTTGGATCTGGCTCTACCAGTGCTGCTCCAACAGGATCTTCCAGTCTTTGGCTGTGTTTTGCTTTGGCAGATTTGAAAATATATCTGGAGCGCTCCTTCCATAAGGGGCACTAACTCCTGAGGCCCTCAAAATAGAAACACATGTTTGGGGAACAGTCTCTGGCCTACAAATTAGAGGGAAAGAGCTATTGATTTCCGATTAAATGTTGAGGAAAAAATGTTTCTTTGGGGCAAAATTTGTCCACAGAAACACTCGCACCCACCCCCCCCCAGAGCAGCCGAGCACACGCGTGCACAGTCACAGTCACACGCTCCCACATGGGACGGACACACACGTGTCGCTCCGCACAGCTGTACAGCACGGAGGGTTGTCGCCGTGCGGAGCCGAGGACGTGGCCGCAAACACGCGGGGACACGCGAACACGCCGGCGAGCGAGCACGGAGCGGGCGCGCGCGTCCCACGCAGGTCCTGCGCGCAGAAGAGCGCCGGGCCCGCGAGTGGGTGCGAGCGGAGGAGCGCGCTTTCCGAACCACGTAAATAAACACAGGCGGCCAGATGTGCGCGGCCACAGCTGTACGTAGACCAGCGGCACAGGCTGATACACGCTCCTTCCATGGCACGCCGGCACACGCGCAACCTCTGTGGGTGCGTGCACACACACGTGCCCTGGGTGTACAAATGCACGACACGCACCCCCCCTAAAGCGAGCACCCCCGAGAGCACCCACACCTCCCACACACATGGGTGCACACCAGCCAACCCACCCACACCCCCCGCCCCGGCACACACCCACAAAAAGGGCCGAATATCAGCCAGTTCTGTAAAAAAAAAAAGGTATTTATTTCTCAGCCTAGATTCCATATTGCACGCAGGAATTAACACTTTCATCGTCATATACTTACAACAACTTCAAATAAATAAAGGTACAGTAAATCTAAACAGAAAACCCAATACATGGCTGGAAAAGGCTCTTTCCTCCCCTGGGTGGTTATTTTTAAATGCGTGTTTTAGGCCAGGGTGTGGGGGAAAGGCAGCATCGGCCTCTGGATGTGCCCAGCCTGGGGAAATAACTCCCCTCCCCATCCACAGCACCCCTCAAAAATAAATTATCCCTGGGCAGAAGCATCCCTGGATCTGGGGGTCCAGCAGAGAAGCACCCATGAAGTGACCGACATTTTTAAACCCACTGGATGGGGACAGAGGGATGGGAATTTTTAATCCAGCAACACAAAGAGAGAGCAAAGGTCCCTGAAACCCCCATCCCCAAAATAAACCCTTACAAACCGTGATTACAAAGCACCACACCGTATCCAAGCTGAGATTTTTCCTGAGTCTAAAGCAGGCTGCATTTTTAAAAGCAGCACCCTTTCATAAAAGTTTTTTTTTTTTTTTTTTTTTTTTTACAAGATACTTTCGGTTTTCTCCTACCTAGACAAACATTTTTATGGAAACAAAACAAAATAAAACAAAACAGAACAGGTTTTGCTTCTTTTGCACCCGTTTGGAAATAAAGCAATGTCACTAATGTCATTGTAAAGGTGCCTTTATATCCTTTTTGCTGTCCTGGCAATGCGAGTTGATCTTTTGCTCAAAACCAGAACTAGTTTGTATCACTCGAACCGCTCCCTCCTCCCGGCTCACTGTGTCCCGCAGAGGTATTGCTTCTTCCAACCAACTACCGCTTGGGTTTGTTCATTTTTTAAGTCCAACCCAGGCTATTTCAGATAACAGTTTGGGTTTTCCTTTTTTTTTAAATTTTTTTTTATTTACTTTCAATGCGTCGCCACCCCCCTCTCCAGTCTCTCACTGGGGGATTGCTAGGAAGATTACTTTCTCTTTTTTTTGGATCGCTTAATTGCCTTGAAACATGTTTAAAATCAAATGGGGAGGGGATTATTATTATTATTATTATTATTATTATTATTATTATTTGCTGTGAACGGGATGGTTCTGCTGCTTGAGGAGCCATTCAAGGTGTGTTTGTGTGGAAAGTTTTGAGGTATTTTGTATTGTATTCACAGCCCTGCTACAAGCCCCTTGCATTATATACAGATATCTACACCTACACACGCACGTACGTATGTGTGCGAGCAGAGAAATACGTACGGGCATACAATGTCTGCGTGTGTGCACACATACCGTGTATTAATAGCTGTGTTTTCCACACACCCACATGTACATATGCATATATACACAGAGATAAATATCCGTGGACCTGCACACGCGGAGGTGCCCGCCTGCCCGCTCACCCACACACCCCACGCACGCACTTTCCGAGGTGATTATATCCCTTAGAAAATATTCCTGAGTTATTTGGCTGTTCCTGCCCGCGGCAGACGGAGCTGCAGAGTCTGGGGTTTGCTGCTTTTTTTTTTAATATATATAATTTTTTTTTAATTTTTTTTTTTTTTTAGCATTCATTCCCAGCGCGGATCTCCGGGGATTTTTTTCTGCCCGGTCTCCGCGGGCGCGGAAAGCGGCCGCCCGCTTTGTGCGGCCGGGGCTCCCTCCCACGGTACCGCTCCGTCCCACCGACCCCGCCCGTAGTTTATTTTTAAATTTTATTTTTCCTAGAAAATACATTTTTAACCCGATCCGGATTTGGGGGAGTCGCGGGCAGAAAGCGAACGATCGTGCTCCGGGCTCGGTAATTACACGGAAAACGGGCACGGTTCCCCCCTCCCCGCCCCACGCGTGTCCCCTTCCCTCTCCCCCGCTCTGCCCTGCGGGTCCCCCCCGGCGGGGGCAGGCCGAGGGGAGCAGGGGGGTTGGGGGGGAGGTGGGGGGCAGAAAAAAAAAAAATCATTTGCGTGATTCCTGTGTGCGCACCCCGAGACAGCGATGCGGAGGAAAACTCCCCGAAATCGGCTTTTCTCGCTCCTACACACTCGCAGGGTTTGGAGTTGGGGTTTAGGGTGGTTGGGTTATTTTATTTTTTTTTTTGGTAACCGTCCACGGCTACGGATATAAAACCTGAATATTTCGGAGACAGAAGAAATCCCCCTCTTTTGCTCAGCATGGGAGGAACGGGAGGTGGGGTGAAGTAAACAAAAAAACGCAGTTAACCAAAAACTCGCTAAAAACCCAAGTAAAACAAACATTGCTTTTAGCAACAATTCACCATCTCCAAGAAAAACAGCGCTTAATAGATACAAAATACGCTTGACCTTAAAAATGTCTTTTTTTTTTTTTAACCCACTGATGGAATTAAACCAAAAAAAATCAAAACGGGCCGTGCCAGATCTGAATATTTTCTTTTGAATTCTGCGATGATTCTCCTTGCCCCCCCCTTCCCCTTCCCTTTCAGCAAGGGACACTCTGAAGGGATTTTTGTGGGGGAACTAATTTTTGGAGGACTGTGGGGGAAAAACAGAAATCCCCGAGCGGGCACTGCGTGATCCCCGGCCGTGGGCTGCGAATATTTTCTGTTGCAAAGAAGGGGGAGAAAAAGAAACACCACTACCCCCCCCCCCAAAAAAAAAAAGAAAAAAGAAAAAAAGAAAAAAAAACACATCAGCTTTGATTTGCCTAATGTTTCCAAAACAGAGCGCACTTCAGAGAGTCCGTCGGGCTTTGATGCCAGAGCGGGGTGGAAATCACATCAGAAATAGTCAAAAGAGCCAGTTACAAAGCCACTGGTTTGCAAGAAAAGTTAAACTGGGATATGATTTCCTCTGCAGAGGAGAGAGACATTCCCTCCGCATTCTTCCCCGCATTCCACTCCGGAGCTCGGGAGAGATCAAATTGTCCATCTGTACTCTATTGCTAATGCTCCTGGATCCTATTTCTTCTGCCCGTAAAGCTTTTACAGGCCTGCTACCTTCAGGCTATCGGAGTTAGGGTTATTATCCAGCAAACAACTCACTTTTTTCTTTTTTTTTTCTTTTTTTTTTTAATATACGTGCAGCAGTTTCAAATAACTTCCTCTCAAAGCCTCCTGTTTTCTTTTAGCAAACAGAATTTCCTGGTCTTTTTAAAGTTGGTGTTTTCTTCCTGTCTCTTAAGTAGACAGAAAACATTACATTGCTATTAATATAGTTATTTGGAATAGCTGCTCCCAATTTCGCCGGGATTGCCTCGGACCGACAAGGAGTGTTTATGCTGCGTGACATCATTATTTCTCTCTGCGTGTGATTATTATTAGTTTAACCCAACGCATTTATGGAGGAAAAGGGAAGAAATTGGATCTATTCTTTCCTCGGTTTTTTTGGCATGGGGGGGTGGGCAAGGGGGGAGAAGGGCCGGCTGGAGCGGGGGACGGGGGGCTGCGCCCGGCCGGGACGAGCCCCTTCCCTCCCCTCCGAGCTGCGCGTTTCATCCCAAATCCCTGTGCCGGGAATCACCCGTGGCTTTTGGCAGCGGGGCGGGGGGGGGGGGAGGCGTCCCTCCGCCCCCCCTCCGCGGCCCCGGGGTTTGATGGCGTCTTTTAGCTTCGTCCCTTAAAACTCATCGCGAAACCAACACTGGACCCTGGCACAGACACGGACTCCCCCCAGATTCCTTCCCCCGCCGGCCAGAGGGGGGAACCCCCCCCCCCGTCCTCCCCCCAGCCGAAGCCGTGCACACAGTCACTCGCCTCCCCCCCTCCCCAAAACGCTCCCGCACCCCCCGGATCCCGCAGGGCTCCTCCGGGCCTCCACCTCCCCGCCCGGGAACCCCCGGGGGCCCCCCCCACAAA